TGTTATCACATCTTAGGCTTATAAAACTAGAACTAGTCCTGAGGTCACACTGAACCCACATATTATCAACCCTTCTATCATAATGTGCAATTAAGAACCAACAAAATGCAATGTAGGCAAAACAAACAAACAAACAAACAAACAAAAAAAACAGCATGCATTATTTAATCAAAAGCATTAGAAATAATTCCTGCAAAGTTGATGTACGTGTGCAGAAACACTTGGGTGTTTATTTAACAATTAAAGTAAAAAATACCTACATGAATGTTTTGGGTTTCTCTGTAATTCACATTTACACCTTCATACAATCTTACTGGTTACTTCCTGACCTCGGAAATAGATAATTAAGCGATTAAACCTGAAGCTATGTCAAGTTCTGGCAGTGTCAATTACTACAACTAAAGTAAATGTAATGCACAGTACAGCTGTCTCAAAGTCATGTTATCAATTCTCCATCCCTAACCGAAAAAAAAAGATATACGCAGTTGTATGTCTGACTTCTTAGTTAAACCAAACCACAAACTAACGTTGCTGACGGTGGGAGGTGGCTGCTTTAGCGACAAACACAGACTAGCAAGCTAAACGTTAGCATACAGCCACGAAAAAAGAACAAACAAATTACAAACAGTATGTCCATCAACAAAAGTTTAAAAATAGACAAAATAAATGACTCTACCTGTAAAAGTGGAGCTGAAAACCGCAGTGGAAGAATTTAAAATCTGAAAATGAACTACCGGTGTCAGCAGCAGGAAGTGAGGAGAAGAAGAAGAAGCAGAAGAAGCAGAAGAAGAAGAAGAAACTCTTCTTCTGCAGATTCCCACAGCAGCACGATGCACGCCGTGTATCTGCGTTGCTGCCCCCACAGTCTGAAATGTGAACTACACCAGATGAGCGCGAAGGCTGTACAGAGGGAGCTGTGACTCGGTCAGAGGTGGAAAAAAAAGTAATATTTACTCAAGTAAGCGAGCTAGTAAATCCATATAGCATCATATCACACAGAGGGGTTATTCCCTCAAAAAACAAACAACCAAATTAATACGTAAAAGATAAAATACAAAAATACATCATAATAAATGACAAAAATGACTAAAAGAGGGGATATAAAAAATTAAAACACGTCCTTTATCAAATAAAACTGATGAGTCAAAACCAGTGGAGACAGAACTATACTTAGTTTACTTCTAGAAATGGCTACAGCTGAGGCAAATCTAACTTTGAGCCCAGACCATTTAGAGACGTGTAGGCAGTAAGTAGAGCCTTAAATGTAATTCTAGATTCAATTGGAAATCAGCTAAGAATTGGAATAATGTGTCCTCTGTTCTTGGTGCTTGTCAGTATTCTAGCAGCAACAATTTGAGAGTTGCAACTGTCTAATGGTCCAATGAGGTAAACCAGAAATACTGTTCTTAAGTACACTTCTGAGGTACTTGTATTCAACTTGAGTATTTCCATGTTATGCAACTTTATACTCCCATTCCACTTTTTTTCTGATTTCAGACAAAAATAATGTACTTTTGACACTTATGTGATAGCTGTAATTGCTACTTGCTTTTAAAATAAAGATATAAAGCGCTATGAGATGACTTCTTGTTGTAAATATGCGCTATACAAATAAAACTGAATTGAATTGAATTGAATTGAATTGAATTGAATTGAATATTACACAATAGACTATATAACACCTCCACCTTTATTGAAATGTATGAATATTTCTACATTGATGTATTGGTACTTTAACTGAGGTAAAGAATCTTTTTTTTCCTTTTTCTATAGTTTATATGTTTCATAAAAACATGGACAACTTTCCTTACATTTCTACTCCCTTCACTTAAACACACCTCAACATGTGTGCACATCTTTTCGAGTTGAGACGGTTAGTTGGCTGACAAGCATACCCAAAAATTCAACGCTTCCAACTTCTCATAAAATTACTCTCTATTGAGACTATTTGTTTGTTTAACAAATCAAGTCTAGCATTAATTTTAGTGAGCAGACGTGGGACAAAGTCGGAGTTTGCAAGTCACAAGTACAAGTCCACAATTTATCTATAAGTCAACACCAACAAATCCCAAGTCAAGTCCAATAAAAAAAAATGTATATATATATATATATTAGGGATGGACCGATACCTCTTTTTGATTTCCGATACCGATACTGATACTTCAACTTTGAGTATCTGCCGATGCCGATACCGATACCATCTCTCCTCCTAAACTTCTTTGGAAATAC